GACAGTGCTACAGGAGATCCGATGTTGTGGACAGTGAAAGCTTTCTGAAGAAGGTGACCTTGAAGGTCTATGGGATGGTGGCAGATGAAGGAGGGAGAGAACACACAGCCTGTGCTGGGGAATGGGTAGGGAGCTCAGGCTGGAGCCTGGAATGCTTTGATTATGGTCTGAGTTGTTGGCTTAACCTTGATGGGCAGCGCTAGGAAGGTCGGTGGAGGTGTGTGGTGGTGAACCTCTGAGGTTAACCTGGAACTGGATCTAGGAGGGGTCTGGGCTGGGGCTGGTTGTGGGGGCAGGCTTAGTTTGGGGCAACGAGCCCCCAACTCCTGTGATTGCCCTCATGGTCTTTCCCAATACCCACAGGCAACAGGACCTGTATCGAATCCTGAAGGCTTACACTATCTACCGGCCCGATGAGGGCTACTGCCAGGCCCAGGCCCCAGTGGCCGCCGTGCTGCTCATGCACATGCCTGCTGAGGTCAGCATACGCTGGTCCTGGTTGGGGAGGGACTGGGAGGACCTTGGCCTACAGTGGTGATGGGGGAGCTCTCTGTTCTCGGTTTCTCAGGCCCCATCCCTCCCTCCTTGTTCTCGCTCTTCTCAGCAAGCTTTTTGGTGCCTGGTGCAGATCTGCGACAAGTACCTCCCCGGTTACTACAGTGCAGGGCTGGTGAGTGTCTGGGAGCTGGGTGCACCCAAGGTTGTGACTTTCCCCTGAGGCTGCAGGGAGGTCCTTGTCCTGCCCCACCCTCTGCCCTTTAGTCCCTCTGCTCTGGGCCTCTCCCCCGGAGGTGAGGATCCCCCACTAGGGATAGTCCTGCCTGACGGGGGCCACAGTAGGCCTCTTCTCATGGCTCATCCCACTTCCAGGAGGCCATTCAGCTGGACGGAGAAATCTTTTTTGCGCTGTTGCGCCGGGCCTCCCCGCTGGCACACCGGCACCTGCGGCGGCAACGCATTGACCCCGTGCTCTACATGACAGAATGGTTCATGTGCATCTTTGCCCGCACCCTGCCCTGGGCTTCAGTGCTACGTGTCTGGGATATGTTCTTCTGTGAAGGTACTTCTGTAGCCATTCAGGCCGCGAGGGGGCCAGGGTTTCCATGGTGGCTGCCAGAGAGTGGCCTGCTGCCAGAAGGTACCTCTGGGGCCTAGGCTTCCCTGTAAGCAGTCTGGGGGCTGGAGAAACTGGGGCCTAGTCGTGACTCTGCTATTAATCCAGAGCTTACTCTTCCTCTCAGGAACCTGAAACCCATGGCAGCTCATTTCCCTTCATGGGGCCTCAGTTTCCTTATCTGTATGGGTGGCAGTAAGACAGGGATGGAGCCTATGAGTCCCTTCTGAATGGGACACACTGAGATCCCAGCCCTGATCACCCATGCTCTCTTCTTTCTGACCTTGCAGGCGTCAAGATCATTTTCCGGGTGGCCCTGGTGCTGCTGCGTCACACACTGGGCTCGGTGGAGAAGCTTCGTTCCTGCCAGGGCATGTATGAGACCATGGAGCAGCTGCGCAACCTGCCCCAGCAGTGCATGCAGGAGGACTTCCTGGTGCATGAGGTAGGCTGTGGCCTGAGCACACCCACACCTGCTTCAGGCCATACCCGCCCTCACCTTCATTCTGGTACCCATTGCTTCTCTGTCTAGGTGACCAACCTCCCAGTGACAGAAGCACTGATTGAGCGAGAGAACACAGCCCAGCTCAAGAAGTGGCGAGAAACCCGGGGGGAGCTGCAGTATCGGCCCTCTCGGCGACTCCATGGCTCCCGGGCCATCCATGAGGAGCGGCGGCGGCAGCAGCCACCCCTGGGCCCCTCCTCCAGCCTCCTTAGCCTCCCTGGCCTCAAGAGCCGAGGCTCCCGGGCAGCCGGAGGGGCCCCCTCCCCACCCCCTCCTGCCCGCAGGGCCAGTGCTGGGCCTGCCCCAGGGCCTGTGGTCACCGCTGAGGGACTGCATCCATCCCTTCCTTCGCCTACTGGCAACAGCACCCCACTGGGTCCCACCAAGGAGACTCGGAAGCAGGAGAAAGAACGGCAGAAACAGGAGAAGGAACGTGAGAAGGAGCGGCAGAAACAGGAGAGAGAACGGGAGAAGCAGGAGAAGGAGCGGCATAAATGGGAAAAAGAGCAGGAGAAGGAGCAACAGAAGCAGGAGAAGGAACGGCAGAAGCAGGAAAAGAAGGCCCAAGGCAGGAAGCTCTCGCTGCGTCGGAAGGCAGACGGGCCCCCAGCGCCCCAGGATGGTGGGGACGGGCCCTCGGCATCTGAGGCCCGGCAGGATGCCTACTTCTGACCTCTGTCCCCGGGGCTGGACTGCACGGCCTCCCTTTTTTTCCCCTCAGTCGGGAGCAGGCCTGGCCTGGGGTGCTGCCGCGAGCTTCCTGGACAGACTGTCCTTCGGGGGAACGTGGTTTGACTTCCCCCATCTCCTTGCCAGCTGCTGATCCCTACACGGCTGGGACAGTGACAGTGCATGGGGCAGCTGCCTTTCCTCGGGGCAGGTGTGAACAAGTCTGGAGCCCCTTCGCCTCCAGTTAGGCCCACCGGGGGTCTCTGTCACTCCTGCCCCAGTTCCCTTTGGGGTTCTTTCCCAGGTGCAGTCCTGATTGGCCTTTGTCACTTCAGGGGTGACTTGGCAATGGGAATCAGCAGTTTTCAGATTCTTACACTCCAGTTGCTCCCTTTATCCATGAGTGGAGCTGGGTTCCTTTTTCCCTTCTTCAGACCTGCTGGTCTCCCCCACTTCCTGGTCGGGGGCCAGGGCTCTCCTTGCTCTACTTCTGGACATCTCTGTGTTGTAATTATGTACAGAGGACCTGGTCGGCCCAGGGTGGGGGTGCTCGCTCTATCTTCTGTCCTTTGGTTCTCCTTCCATAATGTTCTTGCACCTGTTTATTTAAGGGGACATGCACTGGAACAGGAAATGTCTCCCCCTGCCCCACCTGCCATTCTCCTTGTTCTCTTTCCTCTTCACCTACCTTCCTCTATGTTCTCAGGCCTCTCCTGCTTTGTCTCACCAGGGCCCCCGCCTGTCACCTTGTTTCCCCTCCAGCCCCTATCTGGGTAAGGGGTCTTCCCCTGAGCTCCAGGGGGTGGAACCCAATGTTTACATTCTCTTGTCTTTGCTCCCACCCTGTGCGGCGCTTCACGGAATCGGAAGAGAACCTGCTGTTGTACCTGGGCCTGTCTCCTGCCTTGTTATTTGATAAAGGAAGTTAGAATAAAAGCTAGGCCGGGTGGGGGTGGGGGGAAAACAATGGAGCAGGCCAGGATCTGCCTGGGTGTCTGCTGAAGCACTCAGCTGGTCTTGGCAGGGAGGTACCTTTTGGCCTTTGGTCCATCTTTCAGTCGCTCATCAACAACTGTTGAGCGCCTGCGCCCCCTTTGCCTGGGATCTGCCGCCTCTGTCGTCACTGGACTGGAGTCCTCTACACACCACCTGCAGCACCCGGATCTCTTTCCCAAAGCGCTCGTGCAACTCCTGGAAGCTGGAGGGGGGGCCGAGGGTGGCTAGGAAGCCACAGTCTTCTGGGGGTGAGCTGGGTTCTTGGCCAGCTGCCTGGCACAGCTCCCGGTACTGGGCTTCCAGTGGGGGTAGTAGCACCACCAGCGGCCTCCAGCTCGCCCCAGCCAGTGCCCTCAACCACGCTCCCAGCTCTTCCTGGTTTTCTGCTGCCAGCTTGTAGGCCCGCCCACCTTCTGTGCCCTCAACCCCGGGGGTCAAGATGGTAAAAGCATAGGGTTCTGTGGCCCCAAGGCGTGGCTCCACCTGGCAGTTTTCTAAGAGGATGAGGCCCAGGGGTGTGCGGTCAGCCTGGTGCCCCAGGTAGAAGAGGAGGTTTCCCCGGAGGACAAACCAGCGGCGTTGATAGCTGGTATTTCGGGCTCCCTTCTTTAGCAAGATGCCCTCCCGGTCTGGAGCCTGTGTTCTGTATCCGTGGAAGAAACTGAGCACGGACTTTCGGTGCAGTTTCATGGTAGTCCAATCCGAGCGTGAACCCTGGGGGCAGGCAGGAGAGAGGAGGGGTGATCTCCTTGTTCTGCTGGGCACCCCATGCCGCCCTCCAGTGACTCCAGTAGGTTCTTCCTGGGCACAGCCTTAGTCTAGTGGGATTCAAGACTGTCCTGAAGAGCTAAAGGTCTTGTCCCTATACCACAGTGACCCATACCTCCCCCGCTTTAGCTCTATTCCTTGGGCCAACTTACAGATTCTAGTCTGGGGCCGCTGGACTGGGGCCCTACTTGCTGAGAGGGGCTTTATCCTGAGGCTGTGGTCTGAGAGAGAGGCATTGTTGCTCCTTTCCAGCCTACCTGAGATCGGGGCACAGGAAGCTTCTGGCCTGGATACTGGGCACAGGTACCACTGTCACCTCTGCGGGGATGGCTCTTCCCACCTCTGAAACCGGGAACTCAACCAGGTGATAGGCGTGGGGTGAATGACTTCCCCTGGGTCCTAAAGAGAGCCGGATTCGTAAAGTGCCCCCAAAGCCTGCTGGGGGCTCCAAGCGGGCCATCATCAGAACTGGGTCTCTCCTCAGGGAGAAGAGCAAGGTCGCACCTCGGACTAGGAGAGGACAGGACTGGACGCTGAGTGGGAAGGCAGGATTCCTAAGGAGACGGTGAGGGGCGCAAAGCCCTTGGCCAACCCTGGGGAATGGTGGCTTAACTCTGTAAAGGGAAACGGGCCGAAACCCGCTGTCCCACTTTGCCCCTCCATCATGATCCTGGGCGCCCTTTTAAGTAGTGTGCTTCACTTTCTCTTCAGAGCCTCTAACTGCTGTAGGAGGGAATCTAAACTGTATCCGGCCATCCCTATCGTTTGATCAGGGTCTAGGCATTTATACGTCGCCTGTTCTCGCCATTGTCGCCCCACACTGGTCACGTCACTCAGGGGAGGGCGGGGTTGTCTTCCCAGCTCTCTGCGTACTTCCGCCCGGTTTTCCAGTTAGTCGTCTAACCCGAGTGAAGCCACTTCCGGCCTTCTCTGGCGCCTTCCGCAGTTCTCTTCCGGGTGATGGCGGCCGGTGCCCCGGATGTAGTCCTCGTGAGCGTCTTTCTCTTTTTCTTCCCCCACGGCCTCCCGTGGATCCTGAGGTGAGCGCGCGCCAGTGGGGCTGCTCGAATCCCCGCGGCTCTGCCGCCTCTCTTTGTACACTTAGATTTGTACACTTAGCCCGGGACAGTTGGCGGTCACCCCGCGGAGTTGAGAGTTCAGCGCGGGCCGGAGGGGAGTGGCCAGCAAGCCAGGTCCTGGGTCCACCCAGGCCCTGCGGGCTCTGAGGGGACTGGGGGTGGAGGAGAGGGTGTCAGCCCGCAGATCCCCGTCGCAGCCAGAACTGTTGGGGCCAGGAATGGGGAGGTATGGGGGAGGGGAGCCTGTCTCTTTACGTCAAGGATGGGGGTTGCCCGTGGGGAGCCCCTACGCGCGACCGCCTGTCCGCCCCCGCTCCAGCAACTCTGTTGGAGGCCGAGCCAAGTCCCGGGGGCCTTCTGGCTGCCAGCTTCCCTCGCGGCCCCTCACTGTGTGCTCCCTCTCCTCCCAAGCTGGATCTAGTGCGTACCAGGTGATGGCTTGTTGTGCTGGGGCACTTCCGCGGTGAGTAGCCGCGCCCGCTTCCCTTAATCTGCATCCTCTCTCGACCCAGCCTGGGGAAGGCTCCTCAGTCCAGTCATGCCGAAGAGGAAAGTGACCTTCCAAGGTGTGGGAGATGAAGATGATGAGGATGAAATCAGTGTTCCCAAGAAGAAGGTGAGGGGGCCAGACCCATGCATTCTGAGGAGGAGGGAGGGGAGGGAAAGAACTAGAAGCCAGAAGAGAAAAAGAGAGGGGCGGGAGGGGAGGGAAGGTGGCAAAGAAAGCAGAGAGAGGGCTGGCTTTTCCATGTGCTCTGGGAAATGGGTTTGGAGAAGGTTCAGTTTGAGAGGGTTTTGAAGAAGAACCTACCTAGAATTTTCAGTTGGGGAAGGTTTTGAAGAAAAATCTACGTCAAGTATCTTGAGGAATAGCCAGTAATCTGCATCTCTCAACTTGCCGGCCCTTCCTCACAGCTGGTGGATCCTGTAGCTGGGGCAGGGGGTCCTGGGAGCCGATTCAAAGGCAAACACTCTCTGGACAGTGACGAGGATGATGATGAGGAGGAGGAGGGGTCCAGCAAATATGATATCCTGGCCTCAGAGGATGTGGAAGGTGAGCTAAACCCAAGAATTGATGCAGCTGGACGAACAGATCGAGCTTTTAGGAACGTGGGGCAAGGAAGCTCTTTGTCTTTTGCGTGTGTGTGCGCGCACCCAGCATGGGATGCCTGTGTCTTTCGTGCAGGTCAGGAAGCAGCCACACTCCCCAGTGAGGGAGGTGTGCGGATCACACCCTTCAACCTACAGGAAGAGATGGAGGAAGGCCACTTTGATGCTGATGGCAACTACTTCCTGAACCGGGATGCTCAGATCCGAGACAGCTGGCTGGACAACATTGACTGGGTGTGGCCGAGGGGCTGACATGGCGGGCGGCCTGGAGGCAGCAGGTGCTGGGCCTGGGCCCTCCCGCAGTTTGGAGGAGATAACCCGTCCCTGTTTTCACATCACAGGTGAAGATCAGGGAGCGGCCTCCTGATCAGCGCCCACCGTCAGACTCAGAGGAAGAGGACAGCCTGGGCCAGACACCAATGAGTGCCCAAGCCCTCCTGGAGGGCCTTCTGGAGCTGCTGTTGCCAAGAGAGACAGTGGCTGGCGCGCTGAGGCGTCTGGGAGCCAGAGGAGGAGGCAAAGGGGGCAGCAAAGGGGGTGGGCGGCCCAGTTCCCCGCAACGCTTGGATCGGCTCTCTGGGTTGGCCGACCAGATGGTGGCCCGGGGCAACCTTGGTGTGTATCAGGAGACAAGGGAACGGTTGGCCATGCGGCTGAAGGGGTTGGGTTCCCGGACCCAGGGACCCCCTGAGCCCACACCGCCACCCTCTCTGGACATGTTTGCTGAAGAAGTGGCAGAGGGGGAGCTGGAGACCCCAACCCCTACGCAGAGGGGAGGTAAGACTGGAGGCAGAGGAGGAGTGCTGTGGGCAGGGGCCGGGGAACTTGAGGCCCAGATGGCTTTGCATGTTGTTTTAGAAGCAGAGTTGCCAGGAGATGGACTGGTGGACGTGATGTGGGAATATAAGTGGGAGAACACGGGGGATGCTGAGCTGTACGGGCCCTTCACCAGCACCCAGATGCAGGTAAGTCCCTTTCTACTTCTTCTGCCGCTTCTCTCCCTCCCCGCACCCGTATCAGTCCTTTCCCAGCTCTGCTCTCTTTTCCTACAGACCTGGGTGAATGAAGGCTACTTCGCAGATGGTGTTTATTGCCGGAAGCTGGACCCTCCTGGCGGACAGTTCTACAACTCCAAACGCATTGACTTTGACCTCTATACCTGAGCCTGCTCAGGGCCCTGTTTTGGTGGCCCCTTCTTTCCTGAACTCTGTGGAGGAGGCCCCAGCTGCCTCAGGCATTGAGGACTTTAGGGGCCATTTTTCAGTCAATTTCCCTTTCCCAATAAAAGCCTTTGGTTGTATATTTAGGGCTTTGGCTGTGCTAATGGCCAGAAGCCAAGGACCTTCATAACCCCTTCGAACTCCTCTCATGAGTGGAAGTTTCTGGTTACCTAAACCATTTCACCTTTGTTTATCATTCCTGGGGTGGAACCAGAGCTGTCAGGTGGCCTCGAGTCTGCTCACCATCTAAAACTCCCTTTCACTCACATGCTGTCCTCCAGTATTCTCGGAGGGGGCTTTGGAACCTCAGAGCCTCTGTCTTCACAGCCAGTGTAGGTAGAGCACCAGAAGTGGAGAGTTTAGGGCTTGGGGGCTGGGACATCTGTTTGGAGGGAGGAGGAAGCCTGCTATCCGCAGACTCCCCACTGTCTCAGGCTTCTTCGGGGAACAGTGATGGCCCTTCAAGGCCATCTGGGCAGCCACTGAACTGGCACAAAAGGGCAGTGCCTCCTTGGAGCTCACACAGTGAATTGGAGAGCTGGCCCAGACCCAGCGGGCTTTTTTCCCAGACCTTTCTTGGCACCCTTGAAGTTCTCTGAAATTCACATTTCCTGAGCTCCCGGTGTGCAAAGGCTGGTGCCGTGAAGGAACCGGATAACTGGATTAGTCTTCTTCCAGGAATTCAGATTTTGGGGGGAGTATGGTTGGGAGGGGACAGGTATAATTGTATTGTCTGCACCTAGCACCTCCCACCTCTCACCAGTGCTGCCTTATGCCTCTTGTACCAAATTAGGTTGAACCCTCCACTTTTCTACTTTGGCTGTCCTTTGGAGTCCCAGGGGAGCTATAAAATTACTCAAATTCCAAGTGAGTTAGTTTAGAGAGTGGCTCAGTGGTTGGGGCTTTTTGAAAGCTCCCAGGTGATTCCAGTGTGTGGACAGGTGGAGAACCACTGGGCATGACTCAGGACTGAGGTTACACCTGGAGGGTCCACTTCCCAGATCCTGCTGTGGTGGCAGAGCTGAGCATGTGGTGGCCAGGGCTCTGCCGGTCTGTTACAGGATTGCTGGGCACCAGGGCTGCAGGTGGAAGGAGCCAGGCTTGGAAGTAGGAACGACAGCAGAGTGGGGACACTTGATGCTCTAGCGAGGCCTCCAACTTCTGTATTAGTTGGGTCCGTGCCGGTGCCAGCCCAGACTCGGTAGTCGTTGATTCCAAGATGTCTTCAGTTGTAAGTCTTCAGGTATCATTAAGAAAACCCTGCTAATTGCATTTGTAAGATGTCATTGATTAAATGGTTCGTCTGGATTTCAGAAGTGAAAAGCAATACAGCTGGTCACCTTTATAATCCCAGTGACAGACGGACTCATGGGAGGTGTGTACTGTTGGGTGAATAGATGAAAGCCAAGGGGGCAGTTCCCTTGGATGTACCACTGGCATCTCAGGCTCCACCTATCCAGGTCCCACCCCATCTACCCCTCACAGCCGCCTCCTGTGGTCACCTCCCTGATGAATGGTCCCCCAGAGATGTCCATGTCCTCAACAAAATCTGTGAATATGGGACCTTACGTGGCAAAAGAGACTGCAGATGTGATTAATGACTGAGATGGGCAGGGGGCCGTGCTATCCTGGAGTATGGAGGTGGGTGGGCCCAGTGTCATCACAAAGATCCTATAAAGTGAAAGGAGGGTCAAACACAGTTACTGGCTTTGAAGATGGAAGACCAGGTCATATGCCAAGGAATGCGGTGGCCTATAGAAACTGGAAAAGGCAAGCAAACAGCCCTCCCAGAGCTGCTACAGAAAAAAGCCCTACTGAGGATTTGAACCCAGTGAAAACCATTGTGGACTTCTGCCCTCTAGAATGTAATAAAGTGTTTCAAGCCACCAAGTTGTGGGTATTTATTATGGCCCCAATAGGAAACTAACACATACCCCACCTAGCTGAATGCCTTTCCTCTCCCACAAACATGACTTAAGTTCTCTGTCTCTGGCCATGCCCCTGTTTCAAGCCCCTATCAGCACTTCACCCCTTTGCCTTTCTTAAAACTGTTGGGCGTGTACATACAATTACTATTTTTACCAAAAACTTTACTGAGATGTAGTGCACCCGTTTGTACAGTTCAATAGTTTTTTTTAGAATATTCATAAGGCTGTGGAGCTATCACTACAATCCAATTTTAGAACATTTCTGTCCACCATAGAAGAAACTGCTCCCTTTACTCCCCACCCTCTGTGTCCTCCAGTCCCTGGTAACCACTAATTCACTTCCTGTCTCTGTAGAGTTGCCTATTCTGGCCGTTTCGTACAAATAGACTCATAAGATATGTGGTCTTTTGTGTCTCCTTGTGTCTACTTAGTTTTTGAGATTCAGCCATGTAACATGTAATAGTAATCTTTATTGTGAGTAATATTCCACCATATGAATGTATGGTATATTACCATTCACTAAACCTCACACTTTCTTTGGATTTTACTAATTTTTCCCTTATGTCCCTTGTCTGTTCCAGAATCTCTTCTGGGACACCCTTTCACATTTAATTATCATGTCTCCTTAATCTCTGGTCTGACAGTTCCTCAGAGTTGTTTTTGCTGACTTTGACAGTTTGAGGAGAATTGGTTTGGTATTTTGTAAAAATATTCCTCAAATTTCGGTGCTTTTTTGGGTCTGATATTTTTCTCATGATTAGATTTGAGTTATGGTTTTGGGAAGGAAGGCCATGGAGGTGAAGTCCCTTCCCTTTTACTGAAAACTTTTAATGGCTTCATTTCCCTTGAGATAAAGTTCAAAAGCTTGAAGCTGACTAAGAAGGTCTTCCAGGGCCTGGCTTGACCAACCCCTCCAGCTACACATCTGCCGTTGCTTTTCTACTCTGTTTTCTTCCCTGACTCCAAGCTCCAGCCTTCTCCCAGAACAGGGCAATTTAATTTCTCCAGGTCTGGCCAGCGATGCCTTTCTCTTCTCTGTCCAGGAAAGGCCAATTAATAGATCTGTTGGCATCTTTTTTTTAAAAAAATATTTATTTGCTTATTTAGAGAGAGAGAGAGAGAGAGAGAGAACATGCACACAAGCAGGGGAGGGGCAGAGAGAGAGGGAGACACAGAATCCAAAGCAGGCTCCAGGCTCTGAGCTGTCAGTACAGAGCATGATGCAGGGCTCGAACTCATGAACCACAAGATCATGACCTGAGCTGAAGTTGGACACTTAACCGACTGAGCCACCCAGGCGCCCTGAGGTCTCCTTTTCCTACAGGCTTCCTAACCCACTCCCCACTCCCCTGGTTGGTCATTGTTTCTTCCCCTGTGCCCAATAGCACAGATGTCTGGCTCCATACCCAGAGCAGTTTTTGCTGGTCTGTCTCCACCAGGAAGCCTGAGGCGGGTTCAGTTCTGATGAATGAATAGGGAATGAGCCAAGTCTTTCCTGGTCCTGTGTGTCAGGCACCCCCAACTCTTGAACAAGACCAGAAACTGGGGGGGCTGGTGGGACTATTTGTCCTTGCTGTCCCAGAAGGGGTGAGGTCTGACCTGGATGGGCAGTGTACAGTTGTCTAGACCCAATGATCTCTCAGGGAGCAGGGCTGAAGGAGTAGGGTTGTTCTTACTGAGGCCATGGGCAAATTTACAGGGGGGCTCAAGGTCAAAGCTGCAGATGTCATCACTATATCCGGGACACCAGAGCCTCTGAAATGCAGCCTTTTGCCTTTGGCAGGCCATTTTCCAGAAGACTAGCAAGAGTGGGCGAAGGCGAGTCCAGGCTTAGGCTGTCACACTCTGCCCTGGGCATCTGGTAGGATCTTGGGGGAGTCAAGAACCGTGGAGGACTTGAAAAAGGAGTTAAAATAAGCAGAGTCAGGCTCCACATAAGGGGGACAGATGCCTTTGACACGTCTGTCACCCCTTCCAGACCCACCTGGCTGGTTTGATGCCTCTTTGCAGGGTTGCTGAATGCCAGGCTCCCAGGCAGCGGGGAGGCCTGAGACTGAGCGGCTTGCCTTCCATTCCGCTCCCGGCCAGAACCAAGTTGAAGTCCTGGAGACACCCGGCTCTTCCTGACACTGAGACCCAAGAGGAATTTCTTTCAAGGGTGGATTTGCGGATGTTTTGGACGAGGCCCAAGGATGGATATGTTTCTTCAGGTCAGTAGCCACTTCTGAACTCCACACGGAGGCCAGGCTTGCCCCTTGGTCCTTTTCGGCCATCCCCCAGGTTCAAGGGTATGCTTTTCTGTGGGAGGTTCAGCAGCCACCAGACTTCCTTTAGACCCCGCCAGGGGGCCATCCCAGCACACATCTCCCTCTGGCCAAGTGGGGGCTTTTTTTTTTTTTTAATTTTTTTTAATGTTTTATTTATTTCTAGGAGAGAGAGAGAGACAGCGTGAGCAGGGGAGGGTCAGAGAGAGAGGGAGTCACAGACTGAAACAGACTCCAGGCTCTGAGCTGGCAGTCAGCACAGAGCCCGACGCGGGGCTCGAACCCACAAACGGGGAGATCATGACCCAAGTGAAAGTCGGACGCTTAACCGACTAAGCCACCCAGGCGCCCCAAGTGGGGGCTTTTTTAAGATGTAGTTTTTAAGTAACCTATATACTCAACCTGGGGCTCAAACTCACAGCCCCGAGATCGAGAGTCACATGGTCCACTGACTGAGCCAGCCAGGCATCCCGTTCCTATTTTTTGTCTATTATACAATCGGATTATTTGTCTTATTATTATTGAGTTTGTAATAGACAGTTACACATCCCAGATACAAGTCCTTTGTCAGATACATATTTTGCGACCTTTTCTCTCGGTCTGTGGCTTGTTTTTTAACTTCTTTTTAATCAGTATCTTTTGAAGAGTGAGAGTTTTAAATTTTGATAAAGTTCAATTTTGGATTTTTTTCTCTTACAGTTTGTGCCTTTTTGTGTCCTACTTAAGAAATCTTCATCATATGCAGTCACCAACATTTTCTGTTTCCTCTAGAAGTCTTATAGTTTCAGCTTGAACATTTAGGTCTATGATACCTTTGTGTTAACTTTTGTATGACCTTCACTTTTTTTGTGTGTGGCTAGCCAGTTGTGTGAGTACATTTGTTGAGAAGATTCCCCTTTCCGCCATTGAAAAATTGTCTTGGCACCTTTCCAAAACATCAGTTGACCATATATATGTTCATCTATCTATTTCTGAGTTACACATTTTGTTTCATTGATTTCTATATTTATCTCTATACTAATACTATACTGTCTTTTTTTCTCATTTTTATATTTTTGTTTTTAAAACAAGTTGTTTTTTTTTTTTTAAATGTTTTATTTATTTCTAGGAGAGAGAGAGAGAGACAGCATGAGCAGGGGGAGGGTCAGAGAGAGAGGGAGTCACAGACTCTGAAACAGGCTCCAGGCTCTGAGCTGGCAGTCAGCACAGAGCCCGACGCGGGGCTCGAACCCACGAACCGCGAGATCATGACCCAAGCGAAAGTCGGACGCTTAACCGACTAAGCCACCCAGGCGCCCCAACAAGTTGTTTTTTTTAACATTTTATTTATTTTTTGAGAGACAGAGACAGACAGAGTGTGGGAGGGGGAGGGGCAGAAAGAGAGATGGAGACACAGAATCCGAAGCAGGCTCCAGGCTCTGAGCTGTCAGCACAGAACGCGACGTGGGGCTTGAACCCACCAACCACGAGATCATGACCTGAGCCAAAGTCGGATGCTCAATGGACTGAGCCACCCAGGTGTCCCCTTTTTTCTTCTCATTTTTAAAAAGTAACCTCTAAATCAGCCCATCATGGGGCTTGAACTCACGACCCTGATATCAAGAGTTGCATGTTTCATTGACTAAGCCAGGTAGGTGCCCCCCAATACCATACTGTCTTGAAAACTGTAACTTTATTTTTTTCTTTTTTCTAGTTTATTTATTTATTTTGAGAGAGAGAGAGAGAGAGTGCACGTGTGCTCATGCTCGAGGGGGAGGGGCAGAGAGAGTGAGGGAGAGAGAATCCTAAACAGGCATGCAGAGCCTGATGCAGGGCTCAATCTCACGACCCTAGGATCATGACCTGAGCTGAAATCGAGTCAGATGCTTAACCGACTGAGCGACCCAGGCACCCTAATAACTGTGTAACTTTATAGTGAGTCTTGACATCAAGTAGTGAATATTTTCTAACTTTTTTCTCTTTAAAAATTGTTTTGGGGTGCCTGGGTGGCTCAGTCGGTTAAGCATCGACTTCGGCTCAGGTCATGATCTCATTGTTCGTGGGTTCGAGTCCTGCGTCGGGCTCTGTGATGACAGCTCAGAGCCTGGAGCCTGCTTCAGATTCTGTGTCTCCCTCGCTCTCTGCCCCTCCCCCACTCGCTCTCTGTCTGTCTCTCAAAATAAAATAAAGACATAAAAAAATAAAAAAAATTGTTTTGACTAGTCTATGTTCTTGACAACTCTAAATAAATTTTAGAATCAGTTTGTCATTGTCTCAAAAAACCTCGTTGGGATTTGAAATGAACAATGTTAAATCTGTGTAGAATTGATATTATTTCTTCATTAAATGTTTGGTGGAATTTATCAATGGAGCCATCTCTGTACCTGGAATTTTCTTTGTGGGAAATTTTTCCCCCTGAATTTTTCCATTATTCCCAGCTTATGGGGAATTCTATTGGTTTTATCAAGTTCACCAGCAAAGCAAAAAAAAAAAAAAAGTTCACCAGCAAAGCAACAATGAGAAACCTGAGAGTGAATTCTTTCTGCTTCCAAATGTTTGGAAAGTTGGTTCCTGAAAAACAACAACACCTTTGTATGGGGCGCCTGGCTAGTTCAGTCGGTGGAGCGGGCGACTCTTGATCTCAGGGTCATGAGTTCAAGCCCTACGTTAGGTGTAGAGTTTAGTTAGAAATAAATAAATAAAATCTAAAAAGAA